AAGTGGAGATGCTGGAAGCGCCTGAGGACAGAAGGGGCTGGGGCGAGACCAGCAGGACCAACAGGGCCAGCAGGGCGGCCGGGGCGAACCGAGGAGGGTTTGTTTACAGATCACTAACAGAGTTGCGACCTCTGTCACCGCGAGCGAGGAACGGGGCGAGGGGGTGCAAAGGGCGAAAGACAGAGACAGGACAAGGGGGCAGAGACAGAGAGAGGGAGAGAGAGAGAGAGACTCCCTGTCTCCCTCGCCTGTTGGTCCTGCCTCCGCCGTTTATTTACATTACTATGACTTTCCATCATGAATTAAATTGGTTTCTCTGCTTGCCGTTCATGGGCGCCGCCACGCCCCACCACACCCCCACCACACCCCCACCACGCCCAAACTGTACTGAGGGTTCAAACGCGAATCACCGAGAACCACGGCAACACCTAATTAATGCGGAAAAGGGGTCTGATTTTGTCCCAAGCAAAAGTTTAAAACGTGTTGTTAATAACTTGCCACGTTTTGAGTGCGAAGTGACACCGGAAAATATTTGGGGCTACGTTTATCCTCCTACAAGAGTCGATAAGCTAAGTCCTGCACTATGTTACAAGAGTATAACAAGCGTTTCCTACTCTTTCATGAGTTGGATTTTTTTCTACTGTTGCAAGAGTAAGGGGTGTCCTACTTTTGCATTTTCAGGGTGTTTAAGTTTTCTTGTATGTAGCCTACTTTGTCGGCCAGTTTCCTAGTAATGAGCAGAGCAGCATGTCGTGTGCTGGGGGGGACACACATCACATCCCTGAAGCCATTTCATTATCATCCGTGGTGGGAGGCGAGAGAGGGAGGGAGATGGAGAAGGGGGAGGAGAGTGGGCGGTCGGTATAGGGGATGACGCCGTGCACCCCGGCTGGCTGCACGGGGGCCGCTGCGGCGCCCACTCAGTAATTGGAAGGCTGGGCCTCCTGCTTCAGCACCTGCTGCTTCAGCACCTGCTTCAAGCGCCGGCTTCAGCACCTGCGGATAGAGCCCGGAGGGCCCGGAGGGCCAATCCAAGTCCCACTGATGACGTCGCCAACTCAAACTTACTTACCCGCCCGCCCCCGCGCCGCGCGCAGTACCCGCAGGACCCCCGCGGCCCTGCGGAGACCAGACCCCGCCGCCCCCGCCGCCCCTCGCCTCTTCATTTGGGGCACTATGATCCTCCCCACCCCCTCTACGCCCCCCCCCCCTCCAACTGGAGAAACAAGTAGTGTTGCGTGCGTAACGTTTCTTGACGTGTTCTCGGGAGAACACTTTCCCCGATGCATTCTCGCTGTGACGCTCCTCTATCCTTTTACATGGGAATCAGATAGCATCAAGAAACCTGTTCTCCCGAGAACATGTCAAGAAACGTCGCGTTCGCAACACTTGTTTTTCCAGTGCCACTCTAGTTGTGGCGTGTGGTTAAAAACGTAATGTTTCCTTCCTTTTGGGCGGGAGAGGGGAGCGCCCCGCCCACAGAAAAGGACCTAAACCGATCCTATTAATTCTTCGTCTCGCTGGTTAAATTATGCAGGCCGCTTTGTCTGTGTGTGTGTGCGTGGGCACGGATTACATAAATACACAGGTTGTGTGTGTGGGTGTCTTATTTTTTCCTGTTTAGTTGGTCGGTTGTTTCAGGCCAGCCGCTGCAAAGCCTCCTACTGGTCATTATTTACGCATGACTGACAACAGGAGTACTTCATTCCCTCGCCTCTCTCTTCCTCTCTCTCTGTCTCTCTCAAGAAACATTTTGAAAAAAAAAAACTTTCAGTGAAATTTTCAGTTGTACTTTTGTTTTGACAACTTGGTCATTTATTCACCTGCTCGAACTGCGACACTATTTCGAGTGAAATCAGCGGTCAATTTTATTGTGAGGCTTCAGTCCCCTTAACTGCGGGCCATACTAAAACTTAATTCAATTCTCTTTCTCTGTCACTCATCATCCCTCACTCTTTCTCGCTCACGCAAAGCACGCACGCCCTAGTTCGCTTCCAATCGCGCCGGCGGCACCTCTCCTCGGGAATGGAAGCCCCTGTCGAGTAGCGGGGTAGACAGTCCCGCCGAACACGCCTGTTGGGCGCGCGGCCTACCCGCCGCTCCGCAGGCGCCATGTCCGCGGGGACAAGCTGTTGGCAGCGCCGCGGTGGCGGGACAACTCGGCGAGTAAACGCGACGCCCTCGGCTCGTGCGCAGCGTGCGCGCGACTAAACCATAGTGCGATAGTTTTGTCGATATTCTCTGCTTTCAAAGCGCGCCGCGCACGCTTCTTTTCTAACTGCGGATAGAGGCGGGTGGGTGCGGGGCGGGGCGGCGGGCCGGGGAGGAGGATGAGGTTCCTGACAGGTCCACCGTCCGTCCCACCTGTCAATAAGACACAATCTTCTTCAGACTGTTTTGCTCGATTGACGTTTGAATTGAAACAGGAATATAGCGCCCACTCCTGGTGTCACGGCGCGGCGCGGGCCGTGCTATACGCTGCTCCCACTTTAGAAATTTCGGATGCCGCACAGTTTTCATTTTCATTTGCAAGTCTACTGCACGACAATATGGTGCATCGCTGATTTCCCTTTCCACCAATCGCAGTTGTGCGATCGAAAATAGACAGACAGAGACTGGGGCTCTTTCGTAGAATTTAGATATTGTGACGAAAACAAGTACACGTGCTCGTGCTGTGCACATACTTTCTCCCCATTCCTCATGCTCTCTACATACGCTCTCATGTGTGTGCGAAAGCCTTTCTTTTATTGATTTAACGCCGCACAATTTGATTCGTAGAAGAGTACTTCGCTTCCTTCTGCGGCCGTCAGGGTCCGCTTCTGTGCCTCATTTCCCTGAGAGGGAGAGGGCTGGGCCTAGCGCCGGGCGGGCTGAGGCGGGCTGGTGGTGAGGCAGTTCATCTTGTTCATCTCACCGAGTGAAGCGCTGGGCGGCGTGTGTCGTCGTAGGAAGATGAAACCGCAGCATCCGGGGCAGAGGGAGAGGGGGTGCTGGACCAACACTCGGGCGCTCGGGCCACAATCACATAAACCTGCATCGCCCTACCCTACCGGCCGCGCACGCCCACCCTCCGAGAGAGCTCGGCTTGAGAAAGGGGAAGAGGAGGAGAAGGAGGAGGAAGAGAAGAGTGGGACGGATCCCAAATCTATTACGTTCTAAAGTTATGCACGAGTACGAAGGCAGGATAAAATGATGGCGAAACGCCTGAGTAATAAATTAGATACTCTATTCTCTGTTACTACTCGTCAATTTCTTTAAAAAACAAACATATGCGCTGTTAACCAAGTCTCAAGTCAAAGTTAACAGCAGTGAACACCTGTCGCCCGCTTTTCCCGTAGCTTTCTCTGAAATCTGTGTATGTTCTATGGTCCGAGTGAGATACTATCGCGATGAAAGGAGAGAAGTAAATAACTTATTCGTGAGAAGGTTCGAGCCGTTCGTCGAACATCTGACTGGGCAGCGTTTGTACTGGCGCCTGCTGCGCGCTGGGTAGACCAACCTGCCAAAGCAGCTCTATGAAGGCGGGGCCCCGCCCAGAGCTCCCAGGTGCGGAGGCGTCGGCCAAGAAAACGTTTGTCGCCCAACTTCATCCACGCGCCACCTCGAGGAGGGGGGGGGGGGAGGGGCGTTGATTGGCTTCAGGCACATACGAGCCCTGACCACCGAATGCGAACTTCCAAGGGAGAAAAGAGGACATGTGCCCGATATTCTCACACCTTTTCTTCCTTTCCTAAGTTGCTAAGAGATAACAGCTGTTTGTGACCCTGGTGCGGACGACTGATTTTCAACTAACAAGGTAGACGCACGTTAAAACCGTGTGAAGCTGAGCTAAATGTGCGTCTACCTTGGCCTGCGGCGCGCTATAATTAAAATGTTTTCGCGATTTTGGTTGGCATGCCTGTCGACCTCACATCCCAAATCTCACGCCAGGCGCCTCACTTCACGCCGTCTTCCGGGCGGTCTCCCCTTGCGCTTCCTGACAGAGCTGAGCATTTAAAGTTAAAGTTTAATTTTAAGTTCAAGTTAAGCTCAGCAATAATTCTTGTGTGTACTAAAAATTGTCAACAGCCATTTATAGGGGTGCTTGATTTCCATCTAATTTCAATCTAACACCCAAAATTCTCTAGCTTCGATTACTCTAACAACTTTTTTTCTGACAATTTTTATGTATACAATATGTATACATTATGTACATTATGTATAAAATATATTTTACTAAATTTTACGTAGCTTTGCTGTCACGCTCACTGGGTTCAACCAACAAGATTGTAACGAAGTGCCGCCAATGCGCCCTGCTCTGCTAGCTGACGCGCTTGTCGTGCGCCCCCTAATGACGAGAGGGTGTTCCTCGGCCCGTCTCCCCTCGCCGCACCGCACGGGCCGGCCCTGGCCCGGGCCCTCCGGGCTCGGCACGCATCCGTCTCCGTGATGGATACAGCGGCCAGCCCCCCCCCCCCCCCCCCCCCCATGAGCTCGCCCCGCAAACGAGAAGGAATGCCCCGGGTAAGGTGGCGTCGAGGCGTGGCATTCTGTAGTGTAAGAGGAGGTAAAAAGCCTTGACTGCGTGCGAAGCCATCAACAAGGAGGTAGCCTTCACCTTTCACCAGCATGGCGCTGCCCCCGCTGGCCCCGGCTCCGGCTGCGCCCTCGGGAACCTTCGGGGGGAGGGGGGGAGGCTGCTGACCGTGGCGTGGCCGGGCGTTGGCACGCAGGGCCGAAGTAAGGATGACAGAGCCTGTGCTTTACTGCTCCATTTAAAGCTCGTGAGGCGAGGCGTCATCCTCCTGAAACGGCCTGAGCTGGCGGGGCGGGGTGGGGCGGTGCGCAGAGCCGCCAGGGCCTCAGGGAGGCGAGGCACCGACCAAGGTGAGCCTGGGCCCGGGCTGGGCAGACGACTCGCAGCGCTCACATCAGTGCGCGACCGTAGCGACCCTCCTCGCCAACATCGGGGTACACCGTGTCTTAACCGTGTCTCACCCTGTTCTGTTGCCGTGTTGCAGACCGTGATGGTGGTGCGGCGGAGCGGCGGCCGGCCGCTGACGGCGTCCTGGGAGCTGGCGGTGGTGCTGCTGTGCGCGCTGTGCGGCGCCGGGAGGGCCGCGCCCTGGAACCAGGACGAGGACCTGGCCGCGCTGGGCAGCCTGGACAGCCTGCTCGCCTATGAGGACCTGCGGCAGGCCGTGCAGCAGGCGGAGGACGCCTGGGGGCAGCCCGGGGCGGTCGCGGGGGTGGCGCCCGGGGCGGTCCCGGGGGCGGCGGCCCGGGGCAAGGGCGCGGCGGCGTGGCAGCCCGCCGAGCCCGACCCGCAGCTCTACCTCCTTACCGAGTACGACCGCGGCGGACAGGGACAGGTGAGCCTCTCAAAGAGTCCGCACGGTGTGCTTGACGCCACATTGACGTCAAACGTGTCCAAAATTTTAACTAGAATGTTGACCGGAAACGTCGCAAAAGCATACACCGTCACGACCATCATCGGCAGCTCGGTGAAGGCCGTGACGATAATGACTCCTTATAACTTTGTCCTGACCTCGCGGCAGACCCGCGTGAAGAGGAACAGGGAGGCGGTGGCGGCGGCGGCCGCGGCGGGCCGCCTCAGCGCCCGGAGCAACAACGGCCTGCGCCGGCACGTGCGCAACCCGTCGAGCAGCAGCAGCCAGAGGCTGTCCATCGTCAACCCGCTGGACGTGCTGCGCCAGCGCCTGCTGCTGGAGATCGCCCGCCGCAGGAAGGCCTCCGTGCCGCAGTCCAACAGGTGGGTGCGGCTAGGAGTCAGCGAGGCGACCGCCGACCGACCGACCGACCGACCGGGCGATCGACCGGTGACATTGACCCGCGCCGGCCTGCATGCGCCCGGCCTGCACCGAGTCTCAAAAGACGTCATTCTGACGTAGACACGTACGACGTCATCTGGTTGACCATGACCTCATGTCGACTATGTCAACGTCGGAAGACTTGAAGCTAAGAATGGGGGTTTTTCAGACCGAAAATTTTCCGGGAAAAATTAAAAAATTTGAAATGTTTCTAGAAAATTTGAAGAAAGCGAAACTGCTCGGATACAAATTAAGAGATTTTTTTTAATTCTTGAAAAAATTTCAGTAATACTTTCCCGAAAAAATAAAAAATCCCTAGTTGAAAATATCGCCTATTATTGTCCAGGGAGATGCTGGAGGGGATCGGCAAGCGGTCCTGGAGCCCCAAGGTGTCAGCGGAACAGCAGGTCGAGCGTCTGGAGCGGTGCCTGGCCGAGCTGGGCGAACTCAACGAGCTGCGGGGCCCGGCCAAGGCCGAGGACAAGTTGGCGCGACTCACCCTCCTCTACCGGGCCATCGAGTACGGCAACAAGTGCGACCTTACCAGGTCAGCGCAAACAGAACGTAGATTGCATTTTGAATTGTCGATCGGGAACAGGGTGAGGTGCCCCCAACAGCGAATGCCCTCCGACGCGAGGTAACGTTCTCTTGCCCAAGGCTCCCGAACTTGGGCGCTGCTGGGCGGGCCACCGTTTTAACACGGCTGCTTGGCGGGTTGGCCTACCCAGGGCGTTGCAGGCGTCATCATTGGCGTTGGCTCGTCAAACTTTCACTGTGGGGACACCTTGTGGGACCTCACCTCAGAGGTGCTGCCATTGTGGCATATCAGGAAGATTTATTTTGGGTTTTCTTACTTGTCTAGTGATTTGGGAGATCAAGGAGATCAGCGTCAACAGCAGCAACAACAGCAGCAGCAGTTGCCCTCAGAAACACGGCCTCAGGAGCAGGGAGAGACGAACCACATCAGGGATGAACAGGACGACTGGAGTGCACGACAGCAGGCGAACGGCTGGTAAGATATATTCTTCTTTGAAAAAAAAATAGATTTTTAAATGTTATTTTGTTCTATACTTTAACATTTATACTTTAACATTTATACTTTAACATTTACTGGCAAATTTTGTCTGGTCTAAAATCAACGTATATTCCTTACACAGGTCCAGAAACACACGAGCTGCCACGAGTAGCAACCTTACATCCTAAAAAGGTATAATTATGGATAAATAAATAAATAATTTTAAGAACAAATACACATGAGTTAATGCATCATTTGACCTATTTTTGCAGGGTGGTGCTTGTTTTGCTCTTTCTTCCTCAAGACCCAGGTCCCATTTTGTATGATAGAATACTTAGGCTGGCCTTTGTTTCTCCTGATGGCATCAATCCTCTTGCCTTATTTTTGTATTTCTGTGGGGGAGCATGTGGCAATGGTGATGTAACACATTAGCATGTTGTAACAGGTTTTAACGTTGTACTTAATGATAAATATATCAATATTAATTTTGGAAACGGAAACGGACTTGTTGTACTGCGATGCTGCATCAACTGGTTTTCTGTTGATGTTTATGAATCTAGTCCAGCTTTTAATCCAAAACACTCTGTGTCAAATTTTGGTTTAAACAGTCAGGCAAGAATATTTTGTTTTGATCGATTAAAATTGTACTGCAACAGTTATTCAATCATTAAATTAACATATTTGTAGTCTTTGAGGCATTGAAAGCTCTGCTTGCTTAAAAAAATACGGGAGTATTTATTATTTAAATTTCTAATTTAAAGAAAATTTAGGATCAATTGCATTGTTCACAATCAATAAGATGTGGCATATTCAACCGCAACCACAAAAATGTATGTGATTGCAATGCATATAAGTAATTTTGACCTTTACATCTTTCTTTCATAATGATATGAGTAAGTTGTAAGAAAGACAGTAAAAATAGGTTCCACTTTCTAACTAATGAGTTTTACTTACTGCACATCATAAAATAAAATAAAAAGATCACTTAATTTTAGGTTGGATAGTCTTGCTAAAAATAGGCGCAGTATCAGTACCGAGAGTTGAAGTCGGAACAGCTAATTTTAGAAGAAATCAATGGTTCTGAAATAAAGCCAGCACATAGCCAAACAATGGCCTTTCTTCCCCAAAGAATACTTTATTTCCTATTCTTTCTCTCCTGCACTTCCCTTCACATTTGTGAAAGGAGTAGTTTAATACCTCTGTAGATAATTTGGTTCCCGGAAAGAGGGAAAAATGTTTAAGATCTACGTTAATGGTAGACAGTTAGAATTTTAGTTCCTATCTTTTAATTTTGTTAAATTTTGTTGTTGTAATGAATTTTAAAAAGTGATGTAGTCTTAAATTTCAAAAGTAACTGAGATTCATATTAAAATAAATTTGGGTACAGTATCTTGCTTTAATATTTCCTATGCGCAACTGATGGCTGGATGTATAAAGGTCAATTCAAACTTGTGCTTGGTCCCTCATTACGTATTTACATGGTAAGAAAGAACAGAATATACTTTGAATTGTATGAGCACTGTTTCCTCAGTCTTGGCAATATTTTATTTTAATGCTGCAACTTCACTTCACTTCAAAAACAAAAGTTTTATGAGATCATTTTTTGTCTTGAGTTGAATGGCATTCACCACACGACCTTAAGATCTGTGAATGTAGCAAAATAATTGAGTGTGAATATGTGGAAGTTGACTTGATCTGCTCATGTATGGCTGGGATGGGCAGAACACATTCCATATGTCTTACTTAAAATACCCACTTGCCATAAATTTTTGCCTAATTATTTTTGAAGAAACAGAATGTTGTGAAGGCTGCCATCTGTAAAAGTGGCCTTGTGCCTGGTAAGCAAAGGTTGCAATTACTGAACTGAACTGATAACTAATCTGAAGGTAGAAACTAGATGCTTAGCAAGCAATCTTCCTCTCCTCTGTAACACATGGCAAACTGTATTATAGTAAATATTGCATTGTCATTACTCATAGTAATAAATGCCATAAGTTGTATGAATTTGGTTCATATTCAAACCATAAAACCAAAAACATGAGTTATCACCATTCACTGCTTTATTCAGTTCGCTTGCATAACAACTTTAACTACGAAAATTTTACTCAATAAACCTTCCATACATGCTAATTTAAACATCACATATTTCAATGCAGGTTCTTAGAAAGGAGTCGTAAAGCATACTGGATTTCATGAAATTATACAAAAGAAAACCCTTCCAAGTAAACTAAAATGCAAAACGGTAATACAGAGACCATCACATTTTCTTCCAGTGAGTCACAAAGAGGTGAATTCGCTAAGTATTTAAAATCAGAGGAACAAGAAATAAAACATCATAAAACACAAAAGCAATATGGCAGAGAAGTACCAATCATAGCTGTGTCCAAGACCTTATTCCTCGGGCTCCTATCACTGTCGGTTGGTAAGCCTGAACTCTCCTCACTTCACAAAGCAGGTAGATGTGACATCAAAATGTGTTTAACAGCAATGCTATTAAGAAAAGGATGTACTGATACTGTCACAAGTATTACAGAAGGGGTTAGTAAGGGAATACTAATCTAAGACAGACACCACAAAGTTCGCAAACCATTTAAAATTAATTGGACAGCGCAAACCTGACCACAAGATAATGATTGAACTGTCTATTTAATTTCATGTTAATTTAGAGCATACAAACAGATAATTTGGTTACAAACCTCAATCCTTTGGAATTTGTTATCACAATCATGGTGCTGATTTTTGAAAGAGAACATAAGCCATCATGAACTTAATTTGAAGAGTTACGACTAGTTGGATGATACTGAAACGTAACCATTGAATAATTTCACCAGTTAAATTGATAGAGTGAAAGTCGTGAGTGAGGAAGTTGTACCCAATTCCAATGAATTCACACCAATTTCTAACTACACATTGAAATTTTTTAAAAAGAAAGAAAAGGAGGAAGAGAATTCACAAATTAACATACATCATACACAGCAAATGATATATAAATACATAAGACGAGTTATGTGACTGTTAAATTATATAAAATTTCATACAAATGCTTATAAAAAATCAAAACCCGCAAGGGTGGAGGAGAGAAAATTAAAAGAGGAAAGAACGTTTTATTGCAGTAAAGTTTTTCCTTTTTTTTCATGAAACAGGTTAAAAAAATGGGTAGAAACTTACAGCATACAGGGTTCTCAAAAGCCGTCATAGCTTATTACACTTTCTACTTTATTTGGACACAGCCTCTTGAAAACATTATCAATGAAGTTTCGTCTGAAAAAACAATACCACAATATCAGCAAACTAAAGATCAGGGTTGGGAAAAAATGTCAGCTTACGAGAAAGAAATAAGCCAACTTACTTTGCACTGATTCCTCCACCAGGCGGGAGACCAGGGATTTCTTCCTCTTGCAGAATTTGTAGCACATGTCCGAATTCCAAATCATCCCCTCCCATCCTGTCCCGTACAAGTTCTAAACCAGACAAATTATGGAAGAGTTAAGAAAGCAAGAAAAAAAAATAGGTATAAAAAAAAGTGAAGTCTTTAGGTGAGTTGTAAATTACGTGTCTTACCAGTTATCCTCCTCTCTAAATAAGCTTCCAGGTCTGCCTCTTTAGCCTTGGCATCATCACAGGGTTTAGGAGCTCCTGGGAAGGTAACCAGCACAATACTCATATTATCCCGGCTACCCTACAAATCAGAAATAAAGATATTAAATACTTGGTCTAGATTAAGAACTTTTCACTTAACTTCAGAGATTACATTGTTAAATGGTGTACCTTAAACAAGCATGTGTCAACAACTTGGTTACAAATGTTCTCTAGATCATCAGAAAGCAGAAGCCTTGACCGGACGTAGTCACACAAGTCCACATTACTCATTACGTCCCAAACACCATCACAAGCAAGAACAAGGAATTCATCCTTGTCATCACTTCTTTCATGTACAAAAACTTCTGGCTCAGGTGACACTAATTGCTCACAAGGACCACGACCTTCAACATTCTTGTATTCATAATCTCCTAAGGCTCTGCACAAATAAATTCAACAAGTTATTATAACAATAAACAGATGACTTTAATGAAAAAGGTGATGGCTAGATACGTATAGATAGATAATACAAAGGATCATTACCTTGACACTGCAAGTGATCCATTAACTCGCTGAATCATTACGCTTCCTCCAGCCCGCTGGATTCGCTCTTTTTCAGTTGGCAAGACAGGCTTATGATCTTGAGTAGAAAAGACAAGTTGTCCAGCACGACACAGAACAGCCCGAGAGTCCCCACAGTTAGCCACAAACACTTGTCGAGGAGAAATTAATGCACAAACTGCAGTAGACCCTGACTTGTCCTCTCCACTTGCAAGTTCTGGTAGCATTCGCATTCTATCGTCTAAATTCAGGAAGCCAGAGCGGATGCCTTTGATAAACTCAGATTTTTGAAACTCTTCCGTTTTCACAATGGATTCTAATAAATGTTCTGCACAATGAGCAGAAACTCTTGCTCCAGCATGACCATCAAATACCTAGAAAGAAAAAAAAGATAATAGTAGAGGGACCACAGTTAGATATTATTCAGAGATGACTACTTATGCCCTATAAACCTAAAACTTACTGCAAAAAATGACCAGTCCTTGAGGTCAGAGCCCAGTCCTGTTATGGCGCGATGCGCATCTTCCATTTCCACTCTCCATCCTTGCATACTCGAGACACCAAACCGTAATCCATTCCCTGCTCCATGTTCGTTCGTCTTTTCAGTCTTCGGCTTATCCAGGAAGGCTCCCATTGTGACGGCACTCGCTTTTACAGTTTTATCGTGTTAGCATCTTTTATCCTGAAAAGAGGGAAACATAAAAGATTAGAGAAAATCAGTATCAAAATTTAAAAGAGACATAATTTACATTAATTGTAAGTCCTTCAGAGAGGAAATTATAAGTTCAAGAAGTTCTTAATGATGGAAGAAAAGTTTAGCGTGAAATTAAAATTAAAAATGTGCAGCCTTTGATGTAATTATCCGCACATTAACAAGAAAGCGAGTAAATCTAACCTACAAAGAGTAATAAATATTATTCTAACTATATGGTATTTCAATAACGAAAGTGACAGACAACAATAGAAATTCGATACGAGCAAAGACATAGATTAGGAGACTTCATAAATAAGAGTTTAAGACACATTGTGGTTCTATTTAGGCCATGCCATTTAAAGGTTATCCAGCAATGTTTCAGGGAACATTACAAAATAAATCATGATGCAAACAGAGAAATATTTTTGTTGACACATTTTTATAATAAATAACAATGTATCAGTAAGCACACCGATGAGACTCACTTTCATGCACATTTTCTCAATATGTTGTGGAAAAACAGGTTTCTACTAAACACTGTCAGTTTCCAAACAAAAGAATTGGACAAATACTAAAATATAAAGTAGGCGTATCTCCGCTCTGCGTATCGCTAGAATCGCGTCCCCAGCGAATTTTTATCCCGAGTGAACAGCTTGGGACAGCGCGAACTTAAACAAACCGAGACACACAGTCACCTAAGAAAACTCAACCTCTAAAACACTGATTCAACAATCGTTTTCACGTGTTTGCGCAAGAGATGAGTCAACTGGTGGTGTGCCGACTGGCTCCAAGGCGTTATCCTAAGAAACTGGGAAACGCAAGGAGCGCCGACATATAGAGAAACCTTAAGTGTTCAGGGGTTTAAAGCAAGTGGATTGTTTTCCATGCAGGACGGGATGAGCAGGCCATATCTCCAACGCACACGCTTCTAGGGGCGTTAGTACGCAGATTTGAGGTGAAACTAAACCATTACATTTACCTTGAAAATATAAGAGAAAATTTGAAGCCCTGGGTGACAGTGGGCCTACATTTATAACGAGTAAAATCCCATTATTTCATTGATATCAAACCCAACGCGAGTCGCTACGTACACTACGTTATATGAATGGCGGATAATCGGTTCTGCTCACTGCGCATGCTCGTTCTAAATATAGAAAATTTGAATTACGTCACGCTTTTCCAATCAGCTGTTGCAAACTTCGCCGACAAATTTAAAATCACATTGATTTTAACTCCCTGTGTTCTAAAATGTATTTCCTTGTGAGTCAGATCCAAATTTCTTTAAGATAAAAGAGGTTTGCAAGAGGGAGCGTTCAAACTGACTGTGGCAGCATTGCTTCAGCCGAACTAAGAAAAAATGCTGCGTAGCTGCGTAGTTTGTAATTTACCCCGAATGTCAGGCTCATGAAAGTCGGTCAAAGCAGTAGTTACTTCGCAGAAGTTAAAAAACTCGCTGAACTTTCCAATGAAAATTAAACAGACAAGCTACTGAAGTTTTTCCGTGTGTTTTGGCGGGAGACGTGTTTTCGCGCCACATCATGCAACAGCGCCCTCGACACACTTGTCAAGCAAACATCATCAATGGTCATGAGCCCCATCGAAAGTAAAATATGAGACTAGTACAGGGCCAAGGTAACATTTTCTTTCTGATTTTAACGTAAGTGAAATGTTACAAAAGGACTAGCAACTTTGGGTGAGGGTCTGGTGGCAACATTTTTCTCTCAGCTCAAAATATATGAAAAATTTCACAGACAACTGTTGGCGCCTGGTTTCAAACGTATTAACCACATTCCTCACAAAAATCTTGATCAAAAATAAGCACAAATGTCGCAAACTGATGTGAACTCAGACATGTCACACAAACTATCTTGGTAAATATTCTGAGTATTCAGGGGGCGCCATGGGCCCTGTACTTTTTTTTTCCTTTTGATGTACTGCATTGAGCATTTGGGTGTTGCCTACTCGCTAGGCGCCGGCTTAGCCGTAAGGCACCACGCATTAGTTACAAGCGCCACGGGTGGACGAGAGTAGGCAAGCTCAAACATGCTCGCACTGCTGCATCCAGTATAGTATACCCAAATTAAAGTACGGGGTCCTGGGGACTTTGGGACCCTGTAAAATCGTGCATCGGATCGTTTACATTCATTACGACGGTGTGTCCACACTGTGGTCAAGCTTTGCTGGGCTTTTCAACCCCTTGCATCCTGCATGCGCTCGCAAAGTCAACGTGTTTGGCGCTACGTTCAAGGAGAGTGGAATTTAGTCAGCAAACAGTAATTTCTGAACGCGGGTTGCAACCCCCTCCTACTCCCACCCCCCAGCCCCTCCCGAGGGGGTGGATGGAGAGGGGGTGGAAGGGGGTTGGAGGCATGGTGGTGGAGGCTTGACTCGGCAGAGGCAGGGGTGGGTGTGCTCGGCTCGGCCCTTGCCTCGGCGCGGTTCGGGTCGGGCCTCGGGCTCGAGCGGGGGTAGTTCTAGGGTACGGCCCTGGCAGGGGGTGGGGCAGGGGCAGCATCGGGAGGGGGGCTGTCAGCTGAGGCTGCTTTGGCTCCAGGAGAGGGTGTGGCACCCCTGGTCCAGCTCTGCCCGCTCGTGTCGAGAGTCAGTGGAGCTGGCTGGTGCGGTGCGGTGATATGGCCGTACGGACCTGAGGTCAGGACAGCAGGGCCCAACGGCTGTCCCGTAGGACATCCTGAACGGCCTCGTGCAGGCCGAGGAGCCGGAGCCGAGCACGGCCCGGGCCGCGACGAGTCGAGCGCGACCGCGAGCGCCTGGATGTGGCGGGGAGTGGCTGGAGCGCTGCGGCGGCGGCGGCGACAGTAGTAGCAGCAGCGCGAGCGTCGAGGCCTGGCGCAGCGAGTACGCCGCGATACTGAGGTTGACGTAAAGCCCTGCAAATGCCCTGGTGATCAGGCGCGTCCACTACGGGCCCGACCCAAGTCCTCCGCCAACGCCCTGGCCGTGGGAGATACGCCCCTGCTGCAGCGCTGGATCCTGCCTGAAGGATGAAGGTCAGTGTGGCGTCTGCTTGTTGGGGTTCCAGAGCGCTCGTCTCCGGCCGCTCCGTTGGTGTCCTGCGCCAAGGACCCCCCTGGGCCGTAGGGATGCAGCAGCCAGCGGGGCTCGGTGATCACTGATTGTGCGATTCGTGACATAAACCTTTCGACCACGCTGGTCGGAGACGTCGGGCAGCAGCAGAGTGTCGCGAGTGCAGTGCTTACGCCTCGGTCCGGCCTTAATCCTGCCAGAGGAAGCCTGGCAGAGTGGCCCCACCGACCGCTGCAGGGGCTGTGGCTGCAGGTGCAAGGGGGGTCAAAGAACTGCGACCTGCGAACCCTTTCCGTCCCTTCGAGAATTTCAGGCCGATGCAGGTTGGTTGGCTTCTTTCTTGGCTTTGCACGAGAGGCTACGAGGACGGCGAGGCCCGTATTTGCCTCATAATCCCAACAGGTTATTGGGTTCCTTTTAGGTTAGGTTTGTTTTTGTGTGGGTGTCAGAGCTGGTCGAAATGTCAGTCTCATATTCGTCCTGTCGGGATGCTTAATCAAACAAATACTACTCACATTATTGTATATCTTCAAATATTATTTTTATGTTTTCTTCGTTTTAAATATTGATCATTCTTAAAAACTGTAATGCTCTTTAAATTGCAATGTACAGTATTTCATTTTTCATAATTCTACCAAAAGAAAGATGTCATAATTATTTTTACAAATTGATGTTTGGGTTTTCTGTTTCTCGGTAAATTATTACTTCAGTGGTCTTGTGGTTCTGTTCGGACAACAAAGTAGTTTAATCTGAATGTGTTGTTCTGTTTTCTAGTAAGACGTAATTACATCTTAGAAGTAACAACAGTTAAATTGTCCCCGTTCCATCTAAATTTACTGTGAGTCTTTGTTGCCGCAACATTTTGCGCTCTCTTCCATGTTAGCCACAATGTTTTCGATTCTCATTGGGCTGAGTACAGACGTATGATGCTTTCTTGCCCAGATGTCTGGCAGAGGCCTCATGATTGGATAAGTGGTATCTGCCGTCTGAAGAGACCCACCAGAGGGACTGAATGATCTGCCTGTGATGGCGCTCTCTGAGTTTGGACAAAACTCAATCCCATCAATGTGAGATCAGATATGAAGTATCACATTGTATCATTTTCTTGTGTGCTTTTCGGTTGTGTTGCCTGAAATGTTTATTTCAGTTCCGTTCCCTTTCCTTTCATTTTAATTATTATTCTTACGGACAAGAACGAGGTGCATAATAAACTCATGCAGGGAAAATGAAATGAAAGGATGCAAGGGAAGGAGGAATATGAGGGGGGATAAAGAGGGGGGGGGCGATAGGGCGTCGCACCGGCCGGCGAGCAAGACCGTCACCGTCATGCTTGTCTGGGGCGTAGAACTCCCACTCTCCTCTCCTAGACCGCACCGTCCGCCCGTCCGTGGCGCCTCACCCCCCAGCCACTTTTCGCTCCTCCAATCAGGCCTCCCTTCATCCTGTCTTTCGTCCTTCCCGTCGTCGGTCTTCCGTCGGGTCTCGGGTCCTTCCTTCCCCCCCCCCCCACACACACAGACACACACATACGGTCACGTGACTTATATCTGTCGTGCATCACCGCCCAGCGCCTCCACCATCCCCCCTTCTGTCCCGTCGTCGTCGATTCATTTGAGGATGCTTTACCCATCAGTGCGCCGCCCGGCCCGTCGCGGCGGCGTGGAGGCGCGTCTCGCCCGACGCCCCCGGGCCCGAGGGCGGGGCCCTGGTCGGGGGGGAGGAGGAGGAGGGGGGGGGGGCAGTGACCCACACGACCACACGACGCCCCCGTCCAGCCGCCTGCGCCTGGGCCCGCCACAGCCCGACCGACGACGCTTTTACAAAGCTTAAGGTGAACGGTTCGTTCGTGCAGTTCGAACCCTCTCTGCCGGAGCCAAAGCCTTGTCGTCATCATCGTCACAGCGCCGTCCTGGGGTCCTGGGCCGCGATGGGCGCCTGGCCTGGCGCTACAAACAACAACAACAGTGGCGCCGGCGTCGTCTGTGACACACGGGCAGGGCGACGACAGGACAGCGTCGAAACAGGATGTCAAGCAGGCGTCATTCCGATTGTGTGGAGGGCGTAGTATCTCCAGGCCCGCTGTCGCGGGCGCCCCGCGTAGACCCGCTGCCTTTAGCTTCTCCCGCGGGGGATGGGGGGGGGGGCATTGTGTGCGTGTG